AATATTATTCAAAATGGGTGACCCTGGAGGACATTATGCTGAGTGAAGTATCTCAGTCACAAAAGGACAAATACTGCATGGTGCCACTGTTGTAAAGCAGGACTGACCCTGGGGTTGGAGGAGATTGAGATGTATACTCCATTGAAACAGATGAGGGAGAAAACTGTTTAAGAGGGATATGTTACTAGTTATTTTTGTCATGACAGGAGTCCAGAGTGAAGGCTGTGTAGTGGAGTGGTCCTGGGGGGAGGGATTGTAAAATAATGAAAGAATTTTACTTTTCCAAGAGGGTAATGTATTAGGGGGAAGGGTTGGGAGGGGAGAAAAGTACAACAATGAATGAATGGAAATCCAAGTCTCTGTAAATTTTCATTGAAATTAATAATAAGTTAAAAAAAAGTTCTACAACTTGGTTTTTATTCTTTTTTATGGGTAATGAATTCTGAATCACTATGACAAAGAACAGTAGCTGGCCACTGTTTGAGAAAGTTATGATGGTTTTTTGTTTGTTGGGGGGTTTTTTGCAACTCTAGGGTTTTTCGGCTTTTGTTGTGTTTTTCTGTTTGCTTACAAAGTTCGCATACATTGTGTTTTTCAAACTATTCTTCATTCACATAGTGTTTAATACAATCATTCTCATGCATTATGTTTTATAAAATTAATCACAATTGGACCTTGTCCATCATTACCCTGTCATTTTGCCCAGATCCTTCCCATTTCCTTCACCCTCACCCACCAAACTGCAACCCTGTGGTTTTGCCCTTACCCTCACCCCACCACCCCCATGCCTTCATATTTTTATAATAATGGTCTTATGAAGTATTTGTCCTAACGGGGCTGAGTTAGCTCACTCAACATAATGCTCTCCAGTCTCTGCCAACTTAAGCAGTATTTTTCAAAATCATTGCTCCTCAATTAAAACAGACATTCGGGTGGCGGGGAAGAAGAACAAACTGGGGAGGAGGGTAGAGAGAATGGTGCAGCAATGAAGGAATGAAAACCCAAAATCCCTGTAAATGTTCATTAAAACTAATAAAATTAAAAAAAAAAAATCATTGCTCCTGAGTGCTGCATAGTATTCCATTGTGTGAATGTACCACAATTTCTCAATTCATTGAATCGTGGTTGGACATTTGGGCTGTTTCCATGTTTTTGCAATGGTGAGTAACACTGCTATGAACACTGGTGTACAGACCGCTGTTTGTGTCTCAGTTCTAATTTCCTTGGAGTATAATCCTAGTGGTGTAATAGCTGGGTCATATGAAGTTTCTATGTTCAACTTTTTGAGGAAATACCAAACTACTTCCAGAGTGTTTACACCATTTTACAATCCCACCACCAGTGTACGAGAGTTTCCACCTCTCCACATCCTCTCCAACATTTATAGCTTGCTGCCCTCCCACAGTTTGAGGGGGTTTTTAATTATTATGAAGACAGACTGACAGGCCTTCTTCCTAGTCATCTTAGTCTGGACGTGCTGCAGAAACCTGTGCAGCATCACAGCACCTCATCTCCACTGATACACTGGTGGTGGCTGAACTGAACCTACATCTCCTACAGGGAAGATGAGACTTCTGCCGTGAATCAACACTGCTCCCAATCTTGCATTATTACCAGGCACTTACCATTCAAACACTCAGCTCCCACAGATTTTGCCACTTCCAAAAAAAGGGACACATTCTCATCTCTGAAAAATGTACCTGCAAAGCTTTCCATTTCCCTACCATCAGAGAAGCGGTGACAGAATACGACATTCACTGCTGCCACCTCACTTTAATGTTGTCATGACAAAGACAACAGCAAAGTCCAAGTGCTGTAAAAAAGATGGGAAAATCCCTAAGCAGATCTTGATGGTGGCAGAGCCCTGAACAGTCCTTTCTGATACATATGCAAACCTGAAGACAGATACTTCAAAATCTGAGTATTATATTTGCTGTAGAATAAATGCTTTCCTCTTAGTAAAATCACCAGCTGGCATCTGAGAACCTAATACCTGGCCAGACTCTGTCCACACTGTCAGTCATGGAGTACCTACACATGGATTTATTTTCTTTTGTCCTACAGACACAATGGCACATAGATACCCACACTTTTCAACTGCCTTCATGAAGCTACGTGGCTGCTATGAGCAGCAGTTCACTAACACACAGAGAATAAATAGAGAACCCTTTTTCACCTTTCAGTTTTCTGAGGAGCATTTACCATAAAGGGGAGTGAGCAAAGGTGAGTACAATGTGTTCTCCTCAGAAACATCTACAATGTTGACTAGAGAAACTTGCACACTCCAGGCAGAGCCCATGGCTGCCAGCTGTCTGTGTAAGCGTCCCAGTGAAGCATTAACAAAAGTGCTGAGCTGAGCTGGGTTTATTTCAGTATCTGATCAACAGACCTACCAGCAAGGTGAAGCTGTGTTCCGGCAGCATCCCGTACTGTTGAACGAGCTTCTCTCGGGTCACCCTAGGGAGCTCGGGCAGCCTCTCCCGAATGTAGTCGATATTGATGACTTGTTGAGAGTCAGCCCCAGCGGGCAGGGAGGCGGTGTCGTAGAGCACCAAGGGGGGCAGGTTGGGTTCTGGCATAAACCTAGGTGGTTAGAGGAGACCGGGGTCTGAGTGTAAAGTCCTTGGGTCAAAATGAAAAAACAAAGTCTATCCCTGATAGAAATTTTTGTGTTTAGATACCTCTTTTCTTGTGTTTCTCATGTCCTATAATATCAGCTCTGTTTCCCAGTGACTAATCTTTGTGCCAGGGAGCTCTGGTGGTGAGGTCTGTAGGCAGCTGCACAGCTAACCAGAAGGTGGTTTATATCCACCAGCTGCTCGTCAGGAGAGAGATGGGCAGTCTCTTCCCTTTGTGATTTACAGCCCTGGAGAATGATGGAGGGTCACAATAACTCAGAACTGACTAACAGTAGGAAGTTACAGATTTTTAGAACCTTTTGTCCAGTTTAATTTACAGGTGAAAACCACTAAACCTGCAAAAAAGCAAACATGTACCGTCGAATCAGATCTGGCTGGCACAGAAGGAGACTGCCCCTCCTTCTCCAGCGGAGCATCTGGTGGATTTGAACTGTGTGCCTTCGGGATTGCAGCACAGCTTCTTGCCACTCAGCCACCAGAACTCCCTAACCTGCCTCTTTTTTGTGTGTGTATAAACTGAGTGAAATAAGCAGAGCACAAAATTAAAGACAGAGTATCATTTTATATTCTCGTGGTTTTCAAGCTGGTCCTGCCCCATGGTGTGCTCTACTTGCGCATAACTGTTTCAGAGTTTTTAAGACTGAAATATTCAGAAACAGAATCTCAGGCCTTTATTCCAAGGTGCCTCTGGGTAGGTTTGATCCACTAACCTTCTGGCTAATAGTCAAGGACTTAAGAACTAACCATTTATGCCACCCATAAATAAAAAGCCTGGAAAGAAAAGGACTAAATAAGAATAATTCAATCATTAGAAAGATGACTTTATCTCATTTTTGGAATTTCTGTAATTTTATAGCATATTTGCATAATACATGAAAAGTCAAAGAAAAAAAACCTTTCTTTCTTGAAATGAGAAAATGAACAGATTTTTTCCCCTCATAAAATGTGGACCCTGCATCACTGCACACAACCTTTTTCTGAAACACAGACATCCTCCGCCCTGTTCACTTGAGCACTACCACTCTCTCTGTCCACATTTGTCAAAGGGTTTATAGAAAAACAGGGAGTCAGAGCAGCGATGCGCAGAGGCACAGCATCGCTTCAACGGCCGCTCTGCACTATGAATCAGTCCAGGATTGGAGACGAGAAATCAAAAGGGAAGCTTCCCAAAACCCACCACTCGTTAACTGAAAGGACTGAACTGAAGTCACTGGCTAAATTAAAAGTCCCATGCCCAGTAAGACAGCGGCCTCAACAGTGCAGAAAGCAACCCTGGAAAACAACAACAGCAACAAAAATATCTTGGGAACAATAGACTGAACCTCTAAGATAACAGTCATTAAAATAATTTTGAGTTGGAAAAAATATGATGGGAGGGGTCTATGATGGGAGGTTCACAGTCAGGGTTTAGAAGCCTTAGTTGCTTTGTTAACGAAAACATGGTGTCTTGCTGGCAGTTCAAATCTACTCGGAACTCCAGAGGAGAATCCTCCTATGAACTTTACAGCCTCCAAGAACTCACTGGAGGGTCCGCTATGAGTCAGTTTCAACTTGAGAGCAGTGGGAGAGTTGAGCTTCTTTCCAGTATGACAATACTGTCTTGTCTTCCTCACTGCCAGCGACACCTGCACTAGCTCCCTCTGAACTTCACAAGGGAAATGTGGGTTGACTCTAATAATTATTTGTATGAGTTTAATCTTTGCAAATTGCTGAATCCAAGGGTGAAAAAGAAATGATTCAATTTATCGTAAGTCTATTTTTATTGTTTATTTGTGGGTGTCATATTAAGGTCAACGTTTTTAACTTCCCAATTAAACTGGATCATCAAAGGTTTGCAGAGAGAAGTCATTAACATAGAGATCTCTTTCCCTCTCTCTCCTTGTCTCTTTGGTTTCTTCTTGAGGAACTTCAATTCTACTTTGCTCCTGAATTTAAGAATTACAATAGCTTAGACTCCAACCAGGCAAAGAGCTCTGGTGGGTTAGTGGTAAGGAATTACTCTGCCAACCCAAAGACCTGCAGTTTGAATTTCAGCTGCTCCATGGGTAAAAGATGGGCCATCTCCTGTGAGATTCAGTGCCTCTTACAAAAAAAAAAAAAGGTCACCTATGAGTTGATTTTGACTCAATGGTACCCACCAACAACGTCTCTGACTTCAGTGGTGATTCTCTTAGCTGTTATAATAACTTTATCACGGAAGTGAATTAACAAGTGTGCTCCAACAGGTGAATCCAGTCAAATGAGGTATTCTTTGGCTTGGTAACATCTCAAGAAGATATTACTTCTCTCAGTACAAACACAAAATGCAAAGTTTAGATTGCCCATCATACAACAACAACAACAACAACAATAAGTGGATCCTATCCAGGATCATGACATCATCACTGAATGTTGTTGCTGTTAGGTGCCATCGAGTGGATGACAACAGTAACCTCAAGTACAACACATTGAAACCTTGCCCTTTCCTGTGTCTTCCTCACAACCTCTAGCATGCTCAACCCATCGCTGCATGCTGTGTCAATCCATTTCTTTGAGTGTCTTCCTCTCTTTCACTGACCACCTACTTTTCTAAGCAAGTCTATTCAAATCACCGAACAGACGTGGAATCTGCTGATAGTCCCAGTATGATATATTCTGAGAAGAGTACTCACCTGTAGTCTTGCTTTCCTTCTTTGTCTCTCATTGGCATGGTGCACCTGTAACAGTGACAGAGATGACATGAAACAAAGAGTGCAGGTGGCTCCAGCGACAGGGTATTCAGGGGGCATGTTCCCGACCAATAAGGGACACAGGAAATTTTAGTCCTTCAGCCTCCTAGAAGGAACGCTTATATAAAGACATTTAAAAAATAGAAAAAGAAATGTTTCACATAATTTAGAAAGGAAGAAATTGCTACAACCTCTCTAGCTTTCAACAAACTCAAACTCTAGGGCTTTGAGATTTTTCAGGCTTCTGTCAAAAGCACAAAATCCTTAAAATTCAGAGATAGAAAATTAGTGTCAATATTACTAAAAGATTAAAAGGCATCTCTACAACTAGGTCTTACATCTCTTCTGCCTTGAACTTAAACTGGATAAGATTATCTAAGGAAATGGAAATTCTTGCAGCAAAATAGGCATGCCAGAAACAAGGGAAGAGCCGGGATTTAAGTCTGGTTTACAGACAAGCTCTGGTTCCACATTGGCTTTTCAGGGTCACAGTGGCGTCTGCTGAGGTTCCTGCTGGCGCAGTGGTTGAACAACTGGCTGCTAGCCAAAGATTTAATCCCACTGGGCACTCCACAGGGGGCTCTGGTGGCTTAGTGGTGAGGAACTGAGGTTCTAATCCAAAAGGACGTGGGTGGTTTTATTCCTCTGGCTGCCTGGTGTGAGAAAAACGGACAATCCCCTCCCAGGTGATTTACTGCCTCTAAAAATGCACTGGAGGGTCAGCTAACAGGTTGATTCTCACTCGACAGTACACAACCATGGCCACAGCCACTGCATAAGAAAGACACGGCTTCAGACATTCAGCCTCAGTGAAGAGCACAGCCTTGGAAACTCCATGAGGCACTTCTCACTCCTGCAGGGCCACTATGATTTGTGAATGATTTGATGGCAATGGTTTGGGTGAACACTGTATACTGTGACCTTAGAGGGCACTTTCCTAATATTTTTCTACCACCACTGATACAGACACCAAGATGCATAGAAGCTGTGTCTTCTTCGAGGGTCCAGGCAGGGCTGGCTGAGCTCAGCCTGCAGCCCAGGCCTCTCTTGGCCCAAAGTCTTCTTCATACTCACCCCAGTCTGGAATCAAATGAGCGGGTTTCATTCAGAATTTCGCCTCCATTCTCAAGTTCATTGATTTGCCTCTGAATTTCATAGTCTAAGAAAAACACAGTAATTTAGTACCATAGTCTGAAATTTTGATTATACCTCTCATCCAGTCATGCAATAATTAGAAACATATCTTCAATCTTTAAGTAAAAAAAATAATCAAGACAAGGATGGTTTCTAGTACTTCTTCCCGTATGTGCTATATATTCTTCTCACAATTACCACAGAGTAACAGTACTGGAAAGGCCAGCAGGAACCCCATTCCTTTTTTATTGTTTGTTTGTTTAGAAAATTCAGGTTCACCGGGGGAGGGGGAAAGGAGAAGAAGGAAGGAAAATGTGCAACAAAGAGTGAGTGAAAATTCAACTTTTCTGTAAACGCCTGTTAAAATTACAATTACCATTTAAAAATATTTTTAAAAACTCAGGTTCAGAGAGATTATGCAACTTTGTACATATGATCCAACTAGGCAGAAGGAGAGCTAGGCCAATATTTTAATCTAGTGACTCCCGATCCGAGGTCATTATCCTGAAATCTATGCATTGGAACTTCCTGAAATGACATACAAACTTTGGGTACGGGCACATTTATATTTTTGAAAGAGAGTCCCGACTCTTCAAAAGGGTCTGTGGTCCGTAAATGAAGAACAACTACTGCTCAATGTCCTTCTCTCTGCCATGACACACAGCTCGCTGTGGTAAAACCTAAACACAGTTACTCAGCTTCTTTAAGAAAACAGCTTGAGCCTCTCCCTCAACTCCCAACCACCATGTACTACCTCCTCTCGCTCAACTCAAACTCTTTGATCTAAACTGCTCAGAAGTAACAACATTAAAGTGTGCCAGTTTTCACTCTCTGCTCCCCCAACTCCAATGCTCTCTTGGGATGACATGAGGTGCTGCCTAAAAGGCCTGTTCTAGGGAGAAGATGGGGAAATTACAGGCTTGGAGAGCTGGGCCCATTATAGAAAGTAAAACTTTGGTTTTCCCATTCTAAGGCAGAGCGGAGATTCAGTAAGTCCAGAATTCTGACTTAGACTGTTGTTCCAAAGAGTAAGTTACAAGACAACAGAAGATTAAGGACAGGTGAAAATAGACCAGGCGTCTTCTTCACAACTCATGGGGATAAAACCACCAAAAATCCCTTTGCTTGCTTGTCTGAGTTTGGGTTACTATTACTATCTCTTAGGATAATGAGTCCTGGAAGACTCTAGATACCACTTATAACGCAAATCAAAATCTTTGTCCATTTGCTCCAAGTATCCCCTTCACAAAGTTGGGTAGATCATAAGGGAGGGTATGCACAGGCCCAAATCTTTCAGGACTTGAGAAATACAAATCATGTTTTCTTACAGGGACAGAAGAATAACCCTCCTCAGTATGTCTTAGTATGGGAAACTTCCTCTACCATAAGTCATCCCATGGCCAATTTAATAACATTTTCCCTCAAAATCTTAAGTGTAGATTGTCTTCATTGAGGTTGGCTGTTCATTTCAGGTCCAAAGAAAACACGGTTTTGTAAAAGGCCCTAAAAATTCTTCCTGTATTGTTTCTAGAATATTTTATGACAAGGCACAGGCCTCTACTTAATGTTTTGGACTACGATGCGTGTAGATGTTCTCTGTGAACAACTGGAGATGTTCTTAAGTCCTGCCCTTGCCGAGATGCCTCTTTGCTCTCTAGGAAGTTTTGGTTTTATAGAATACTTTTTATCATTCAGTCATCAATTTCTCTAAGAGTGCCTCAGATGTTTACCTTGCTCCACTGCAGTATTTTAATATGTGATAGGGCTGGAGCATACCAGAGATCATGATGGTGGTGTATGATAGTGCAAGATTTCTATCTGCTGTTTGCAGGGTTGCTATAAGCATGTGGACCTGAAGGTACCTAACAACATATTCATCATTATACAAATATTCATAGCGTGTGACCCAGGAAGATCAAGGCTAATACTAGATTGCACAAGCACACAATCTTTTAGTAGAAAAAAGGGAAAAGTGCTGTTGACCATTTAGATGAAACTACAGCCCATGACTTCATACAGTTCAGGCTGGTCAGAAGACATAAATGGAAAAGTGTGGCTACAACAGTGTGCAGATCCTACCGTAAGCAGATGAGGTCTAGCTCCTCTCCCTATGAATCAGCTTAGAATCCAGTTTACTTCAGTGCAACCTGCTTTGAATAGAATTTGCTGGAAGTGATACTGTGGGAGTAACAGAGCTTAGGCCTTACGAGGGTGTGAGGCTTCTGCTCTCACCTTCTCCCACCATCAAGTGAAAAAGCCCAAGCTAGCCAAGTGAATGAAGGGAGATGATGTGGACAGAGACGCCAAGTCCATTGCCAAGGCCCCGGACATGTGAGTGAGATCGACTGAAACCTTTCAGTCTCAGCCCACGTGAGGGGTAAGACCAGGAGAACAACACAATGCACGTAACTGTGAAGGCTGAAGGACTTATTCTTTTAAAGCTCTATGTTTTGGGGTGGTTTGTTACACAGCATTAGATAACAGGTGCAAAGAGGGCAACATTCGGACAACAGCTGACATTCACCTATCGCTTTAGCTAAGAACCTGGCGCTGTTGAGGTTCTTCACTTCCGTGCGGACACCGAAAGGCTCCCCTGGGCGATGCACAGAGATGTTGGCGTCCACTCTCAGCTGACCCTCTGGAAGGAGAAAACACTCTTTAGTAGGTCTCTGAGGCAAACATGGTCTTTTTAAACAGGTAGATAGTCAAGATAGGACACTGCTAGTTCCTGCTGTATAGTTACAGCACCCTAATCAAATACTTACGTTACCCACTCAGGTCTATGGGGTGCCTGTGAGCACACATGTATGTGCACCTGGGCACATACCAAAAAGATGCATTCTGGATATCCCAGTTAAGAGATGTGATTTCTTCTGTGCTATATAAGAAAATCCACACTGTTTATATGGAGATATACACTGCAATTTTATTCAGAAATTTTTTTCCTTCCCTTTTCAAAGTGTCAGAGCTGGGTTGGGAGGGGGATACTCACAGAGATGATTACTTGATAGCCCTACACTGCTCTCCAGTGAAATGTGGATTTCTAACAGTGATTCTGGGAGATTTACAAGAGAGTCCTTGAGAATTTACAGCTCAAGGGCAAGAGCCAGGAACCTGGGCTGCCCCCACCCTGTCTGCTTCCTTGCACAATCATCATTCGGAATCCTTCTCTTACCGTAAGGATTTGCTGCAGCCCAAATACAACAGTCTCATGAAGTGAGGATTCTGTGTGGAGTGTGGAGGGGCCGTCCCCTCCTGGGAGGACCCGCTCTAACTCTAAAACTCTCTTCTGATTAGGAACTTCCAAAGAAGCAGGTGATATTGTAGAGGGAATTTAGCAACTATTGAGAATTAGGGGGCTAAGGGGGCGGGGGAGAGTCCCCAAACAATCAGAGATAAGAGTTAAGAAATAATCACATTTTCCATACTTGGAACAAAAGCTCAAATTCTCTATTACCCAACTGCATTTATAATGCCCAAGACAGAACATAATGAGAAGACAAAATGCTGGTTTCTATTTTCCTAGTTAGGTTTTTAAATTAACAAAGTAATTGGCCAGACATCAGTATTCTCATGATCTAAACACACACACACACACACACACACACACACACACACACACAGTCATTTCCATGTTCCCACAACAAGATTATGCAAAATAACAACAAAAACTCAACATTTTCACAAAACAATAAAAGAAATTTTTTGTTTATTGAATTTAAGAGAAAGACCCATGATATCTGTCATGACTACCCCGCTGGGCATTGGGGCTCACCCCTCTTCTAGGAGGAATGGGACAGCTGGCCTTAGTTCTACTCGTTCTTTCCTAGCAAAGAAAGAGCTCACAGCCAGGAAAAATGGTGCTTTTCACTCCAAAATGATTCACACAGTATCTCTGGCACTGACTTCTCAATATTTTTTACCCATGCTTGAACTTATTTTTAATCAATCTTTTTGTCTAAATCTCAAAAAGTCCCAGCTATTCCGTTTCTGTGAAAGTCATCTTTAGCTTCTCTAGTTTCCCTTCTTCATCTAGCTAGGTAAGACAACTAAACTCTATCAATTCTTTCTTGCAAATATCCAACAGCCATTATTCCAATAGCCTCACACGTGCCACTTCCTCTCCATTCCCACTGTACGTGCTCTTCTCATGGTCTGAGAACTCCGAGTCTAGATTACAGAATTGCATGCTGACTTGTTAGGACAGCCAAGTGGTGCCTCCTTGTCCAGTCAGTTACAGTGCAACTACTCCTTTCACCTTGCTACAGTGAGGTCGTCACTCCAATTGCACGATCTCCCAGTGGATCATCTCCTCTGCCTGCAATTCAAGAGCACGCATCTGGCCCCAGCTGCCATGTGGCTGCTACTCACGCTCCAATGAGGAGGGCTTCTTTTTCACCCGGTGGCCTAGTGGCAAGAAGCTGCACTGCAATCCCAAAGGCCTGTGGTTCTGACCCACCCGCTGCTCTGCTGAAGAAGGATGGGCAATCTCCTGCCATGAGATTTATTGACTCTGAAAAGCCCCTGGAAGGTCAGCTATGGGCTGGTTCCAACTCAAAGGCACACGACAACATTTAATAACCCTTCTATCACGCTGCCTTCTGTACACCCTCTTTCTCAATGCTGCTTCTCTTCCTTCTCTTCATCCCCGTGCATTCTTCACATGTACATCTTATTACTTCCTTCCCGTGGAAACCCTCATCTATAAGACAGCTTCCTCTGGTGGTTCCTCTCAAACATTAGAATCTATAGTCTCTACCAGAAATGTAATACATGATAACAGTCTATCTTGAATTAATTTATCTTTAGAAATGGAAGGGAGGGCTTCTAGATTGTGAAATGCTCACCTCTCCTGCCTTCTCAAAGGCTTCACTCTCCATTATCACCCTTCCCTCACACCAGCCAGTAATCTGTCTTTCTCAGCATGCCCTAATACACAGTATAACAAAATATTTTTCATAGAAAAGAGGGAAAAAAAAATCTAAATACCTACTCCCTTGAGCTCAATCCATCGTTTAATTGCCATTTCCTGCTTTCCTTTTCAGAAAAGACTCTTGGACAAGCTTCGCGGCTTTTACTGTCACCTCCCCTCACCTCTCTGGAAATGCCCTTGTCAAAGTCACCAACAGCTTCCCACTGCCAACTCCAGTGGACACTCTTGACACCACACAGCATGTGACATACCAACTAATCCTTCTTTGACATATTTTCCTCTCAGCTTTCTGTGACTTGCGCTTTCTTGATTTTCCTCCTATTTCCCCAGATACCCTATTTCCTTTGCATTTGATAGTGTCTTCTTTTCCTCTCCAAGCTCAGGACCCTATTCTTTAAGCATTCTGTAGGCACCAATGCTCTAAAGTACCACTATGTGCTGATGTAACTCCCTGAGAGGTACAGTTAATGTACTCAGCTGCGAAGACAAACTTCAGATGTTCAAGTCCATCGATAGGCATCATGGAAGAAAGGCTTACAGAACTTCTGAAAACTCTATGAACATACGTTATTCTCACATCCTTGGAGCTGCCTTGAGACTAGTGAACATGGTGGCAAGCGGTTTTTTGTTTACATGCTAACAACTCTCAAAGTTTTCTCTGAAGCCTACACCTCTGAGGCCTATACTTTCCTCTGATGTCTATTTGACACCTCTATTGGGAGGCCTCATAGTCATTTGTTTCTGAAACTAAATTCTGATTTTCCCATCCATAACGCAATTCTTTTGCTCATCTTCCCAATTTCAGTAAACAGTACCAACCATCTAGCTCCTCAAAGTTCCTAAGACAGTGACATTTCTTCCTGCATCTGATCTTCCACACCAGTCTGTTAATACATCCTGCTATTCCTATTTCTAAAACCCATCTTGAACCTACTCACCTTGCTCTCTCCATCTTCACCTCCAGCAATCCTGCCCAACACAATCACTGTGCAACTCTCTTAAAAGCTCTTTTTTATTCTACTTTTATCCTCTGAAATCCCCCCCGCCCATGGAGAAGCCAGACTGGTTTTCTAAAACATTAATCAATACAACATCACTGTGTTGTTTCAAAACCCTTCAATTACTTCAACTGTACTGAGAATGCAATCCAGTCTTTGTTTCATTATGTGTAATCTAGCCCTGGCCTAACCTTTCAGCCTTAAAGCGTGCCTGCGTGCCCCTGCTCACTGTGTCTGCCCCACGGTGGTTTCTGCCACCTTCTCATAGACTTTGAGCCCTCTGTCCCTTGAATCCTCATCCCTGAGCACTAAGCTGACAGGGCCTTGAATCATTCTGGTCCTGAATCACACTGATCTCCAATGAAGCCATCACCTTTGAGCATCCATAAAAAGTCACATCCTCACTCTCCAATGTTGCTGGATATCATCTCAAAACTCAAGGCCATCGAATGGGAAATGACTCACAGCTGACCCTCCAGTGGGTTTTCTGAGGAAACCACCCAACTTTCTCCGTGGAACCAATGATGGATTCGAACATGGCCTATGCCATGAGGGCTCTTTTTGAGATAATATATCGTGGACTCTATTAATTGCCTTAAAGCAGTGATCCCTGTAATGACTTTTTGTTTTACTTCTTAATATATTTGTTTCCTTCAGGAATATATGCTCCATGTGGCAGGAACAATTTCTTTTTCAGAACCTACAGCGGGATCTAGTGTATGGTAATTGATAAATTAATACTTTGTTGAATAAGTGAATGTTAAGATTCTTACATTTCCCTGAGCAATGAGTAAACAGAATGTCTATCTCACAGTAGGTTCCCGATAAACTAAATTTCTGTCCACAAAGGACTAATCTAGCCTTGGAAGCATCTGAAAAAGCCCACTAAGCTCCATGAAAATCTTTCAAAAAGAACTCTGCCAAACCAGATTGTGATACCTGGGAGACAACTTGGTTTTTTTTCCACCTGAGGGAATCCTGAATTGGACCTCACCTGTTTTTTTAAAAAGCAAACCCCTCTTTTGAGATTTAAAATTCTAATTATAGATAGACATGAAAGCATGAATTTTTGTCTCTCCCAGAGAAGACCGTGTTTCTTAAGTGTCTGAGAGGAATCATTCTGTAACCTGCAGTGCTGAAAGAGAGTTCACTAGCCTGGATTCAATATAGGATCAAACATTAACAAAAGACATTCTATCCAGCGAAGACAAAATACCTTTTAAACAAATTCAGTAAAATTGCCTCTAGAGCACAATAGCCTTACCAATCAAGTTTACTTCTCTAATGCATTCTGCCACCCTGAGAGGGGGCCTTCAGTCACACATCAGGAGCACGGTATAAGCGCAATTTCTAACCTCCACAAACAGAGATTTGTAACAGAAAAACCAAAAAATTGTACCACTGAAAAGAGTGACACGGCGCTGTTACATAGTTTTCTCAAAACACATTCACACATCAGAAATAAAACATCAGGACAGAAAACTGTTTCTGGAAGCAGCAGGGGGTCTGAGGGTTTGTTGAGAAGGCCTCCTAAGCTCTCACCTCCTCATCACTGAACAGTCGTCAGTTTCATAATAAGGGTTGACAGACAAAGAAAAACAATGTGGCCAAATTTCATCTAACACATTTCACAAAGCTTATTTATTCAAGTAAGTGGGGTTGGCGAGATTACTACTTATTACTAATTATTACTTATCAGCAAGGTCCCTGGAGGGCACAAACTGTTAGTACTCAATTACTAACCAAAAGCCTGCCCATGCAAACACACCTAGTGGTGCTGCAGAAAGGCTTGGCAATCTGGCTCCGTAAAAGATTACATCTGAGAGAACAGCGGAATACATGGTGTCAAGTTGGAATCTACTTGAAGATGAGTGGTTTGTGTTTGGTTTGACTGTTAATACAAGCATCTAACATTCACTGCACACAGGCTATTGGCAGGCCTCGATAAAACTTCATATACACTGTCACATCCATGTCATACAAGGTAACTTGATGGATAAAGTGCTTTAGGCATCAAATTCAACATATTCAAAATTCTGTATTTTCATCCACAAAATCATCTCTCTAAAAACATTCTCCATCTCAGAAAATGGTACTACCATCCCACTGCCCAAATTCTCTTAGAAATTACGCCTGACCTGATATCTTCCTTTCGTCTTCCATACACAATTCTTGGAGAGCTCAGCAACCAGTAACAATAGCATTTATCAAGTGGAAACTGAGGCTCAGGGAGATCAAACAACTTGTGCAGGTTCCTACAGGTAGAAAAGGGAGGGCAGGGTTCCAACGTAGGTCAGGGGCTTCAGGGAACTTGACCACCACCCTACGGTGTCACATACTCCCTATGAAGGGTGTGCTGCTAACCCAAAGGTCACACTCCTCTGGTGGTTTGAATCTACCAGATTGAACTCCAAGGGAGAAAGATGGATAATCACCTCCTGTTGTGATTTACAGCCCTCAAAATCCACTGGAAGATCTACTATGAGTTGGTTCTGTCTTGAGGCTAAATGAGTTCTGAGTATGTCAAAGTCCCTCTAGGTCACAGGTGAAGGTAGTCCTGACTCTGATGGGAGCGCCCAGGAGTACAAAGCATGATGCAGTGCTTGAGACAGGGCATCAAAAGTCAGACATGAGATACCCAATTGGCAAGTTGATTCCAAAACAAGGCAAATCTATGTGTGTCAGAGCAGAGCTGTGCTCTGCAAGGCTTCCAAAGGCGGATTGGGGGGGAGCGGGCACATTGCCAGGCCTTTTTTTGAGGCATTTCTGGCTGGACTTAAACTTCAAACCATCTGGGTTATAGAGGGCCATGCACACCACCACCACCACCACCACCACCACACCTGGACCAAATCTCAGCTCAGTCACGTCTTGTGAGCCTCAAGCAAATAACCAGACTTCTCTAAGCCTCCGTTTCCTCACCTACACAGCAAGCATTGTGAATCTTATCTTCACTAATATTGTCAAGTTTAAAAGAGACAACAGCTTAATTTTAACAAAAGCATACTGAACTGGCTAGCATATAATGAGTGCTCAAATTGGCAGGTATTCTTATCATGTGAAGCATTTAGTCTGTCTATTTCTACGTGCATACAACTCAACAGGTTACGCTGAGAATCTAAACAGTGGCAACACTTTGTCTAACAAGGAAACGACTCTTGGAACCAGGCTGAGCTGGTCCATGCTCATTAACAAAACTATCAGAAACTCACTGAATCACAGCACAGAGTAATTTATGCTTCATTCCAAAAGCACACCAGAGGGCCAGTGGCACTCTGTGCCACACACCAGGGTGGTCCTCCTTCACCAGTGCAAACATGGTGGTCCTACAGTGGCATACAAAAGTAAAATGCTAAGCCAAAACACAGCCAGAATCCGGAGTCCTGTGGGGCTCCAGGTAGACCTCAACTCCACGGCATTTCAGAGCAACAACGAAGGTATTCCGCCAGGAGCAGAACTGCTGGGTTTGTACTTAAAGGAAACAAAAATATCACAACAAATGAGATTTCATGAACCTGCTTAGCTGTCACCCACTGATGAGTTTTTGCCGTTAAGGTTTATCTTCTTGGCAAGGAACCAGATGGGATTATTCCTCTGCTAACAGGTGGCCTGCTTATTATTCTATAGGTTTAGGAGCAATCAGTTATTTTGAGGAAGAATGGAATAAAAACTTTCTAAAGCAATAGAAATTCAAGAGTTAGCACAAAAATGGATAACTATCCAACCTGCCACTTATGTTCTATTGGTAAAAGAGCAGTATGAGGGATAAATATAAAACAGAGAGTTCTCACCCTCTGAAATAGAGCTCATTTCTGAAAAAGAACTTGCCAGCAGCTAACCTATATGCTACTCACATTCTTGTAGCTCCATTTTCTCAGTTTTTGGCTTAGAAATGAGAGCAAAAAGGTAAGTTTTGTCATCAAACTGAACTTGTACCAGAGCTCTGATACTATAATTTGTTTCTTGTAAAATGTTCTATGTGACAAATGTGGCATTACAGATTCAGAAATCCCATGTAACATGCAAATCCATTATGTTACATAATGAGCTTGGCAAATGGTCTCTGAACCAGCCGGGAGATAAATCATCCTCATCAATGGTACTTACCAGCACTACGGTGACCTGAAACTGTCCATCAGAGAGCACCCTGCAGGTGGCAGGAGTTTCTAAACCCCCTCAGCTCCCAGAAACAGAAACACAGGGAAACCAGGGGAGGGACCAGCTTTCAGGGGCTTGAAGAAGGCAAAGCAACTACGGCCAGGTCCAGAGAGCACAGGTGACAAGAAACCAAGTTTGACCAAAACTGACCTTTTATACTCAATTCACAAACACAATTTACAGTACACTTGGCCTCAAGGGCACAAAAGTATTTTTTCCATTTGTGTGTTTTCATTTCCTACTATATTTCGACTGAACTTAAGATTTAATCTCAAGGTTAAAGTTTTGTAAAGTCATGATCTTGACTTAGCATCAGTACAATTTGGTTTCCAGTGTGAGGATGAAAAGGGGGCGAGGGAACCAGATCCAAAAAGAACAATTTTGTTGTTGCTGGCTGCTGTCAAGCAGGTTTCCAACTTATGGCCACCTCAACAACAGGACAAAATACTCCCTGGTCTAACATCATCCCCATGATCAACTGCAGACTGAACTGCTGTGATCCACAAAGATTTTGTTAGCGGATTTTTAGAAGTAGATTGCTATGTCTTTATTCCTGGTCTGTCTTAGTCTGGAAATTGCCGAAATCTATCTAGCATCACAGTAACACACTGCTTTCAGAGGATACTGGCTAGGAATCAAATTGAATTTCCCATATAGAAGGTAAGAATTCTACTACTTTATACATACACACACACACACACACATACATATATACATATATACATATATACATAAAAGAGCTTTCAGAGCTGATGAAGCCACAGACTCTTTACTATCTTGTGACTTTCTATTTATCTTTCACATGGCTCTTGAGTCAGAGCTGATTCACAGCTGACCCGCCAGCGTGTTTCCAAGGATGCAAGGCAGGCAACTGCCCATCTTTCTCTCAAGGAGTTGTTGGTGCATTCGAACTGGCAGAGAAGTAGCCTTTAGGTTGTGGTTGTTGTTGTTAGGTGCCATTGAGTTGTTGACGACTCATAGCGACCCTATGAACAAAAGTCCTCAACACTTGCATGACTTTCATTCTTTCTCCAGGTTCAAACGGTTTCCGGGGGCAAGCTATTTCGGAAGTAGATGCCACTCCTGCTTCCAAGCTTCTTTTAATCGGGGAGCTCCACCAAACACTGTCCACCATGGGTAACCATTATCGCATTTGATGCATCAGTGTCACAGTGTTCCACATCACACAACTGCAATTTACCTCTGCACAGCAAATGGACAGATCAGTGCTATACCACTTAGAATGTCTGACCAAAAATGTTTGATAGACTTTAAGTTAACATCTCCAATTCCCTTGCAGAACTCACAAACCAAGAATTACTGCTGATAAACGTGATGTCCTCTTTCTGAGAATGATTTAACTGTTCTTACTCATTATTTCATCAGTCCTCACGATGCTGATGTAAAAAGCCAGGAGAAGGTATCAAGTGCTGGGACTCTTGATCTCATAACTGTGGACTCAATCAAGGCTTCTCCAAGTGGCTGATGACAGAGAACTCTAAGCCAGAAGAGAACAAGGAGGCAGAAAGGAAGGAGGTGAAGGGAGAGGTCAATGCTCCTGTGGCTCCTACCTGCCATATTTGCCTGGCTCGTCCCCAGGGCTTGAAGGATCAGCTGCAGCTCCCTGACTGCTGTTGCTGCCTCTTCTCCACAGGTCATGTCAGGCTCCATGACTACCTCCAGAAGTCCAACTCCTGCCAAAAGGAGAGAATATCAGTTCCAAGGCTCCAATCTGAGCAACTGACAGATTACACTCAAATCTTAGGAAAACTCTGTGTTAGTTATGGACTTGCAAAGTGATTCTGACCTGCGAATTCTTTCTTTCCTCTACTTCCTGCTCTCCAACTTTGGTTTCATTTCTTTTAATGTTGGCCTAAGATATCAACAGGTTCATCCTGTTGGCCTAAGATATCAACAGGTTCATTCATCCTGGAGAGGCTGCTACTTGGAGGCAAGGATTCTGAAGCTTCGTCTGATATAATTTGGACATATTGCAAGGAGGGACCTGTCCTTGGAGAGGGACTTCATGCTTGGGGGGGGTGAAGGGACAGCGTAGGAGGAAAGGCCTTGGCTGAGATTGATTGACTCAGTGACTAGGGTTATGAGGGTGGGTATGTCAGAGACAATAAGATTGGCTCAGGATAGAGCAGAGTTCAGAGCTGTTCTACATAGGGTTGCTATGAGTTGCAAGCTATGAGACGGTTGCAAGCTAGGAGACGGCATGTAACAACATAATCATAGTTTAAGCCGTATTTTCTAATCCTGTCCTAACACTAGCATTTTTTATCTCCTCAGATGGTTTGGGAAGGCTCCCAAGAGGAAGTTGTTGTTCACTGCTGATTCAGAACCACAGGTCATGTCAGGCTCATAGCTGATCTTCCAAAGGGTATTCGAAGGCAGTAAGTCACACAGGTGGAGATGGCCTGTCTTTCTCCTGTAGAGCAGTTAGTGGATTTGAACCATATGCCTTTAAACTGGCAGCACAGCTCTTTATCCACTTATCCACTATGAGCTTCTTCCAGGGAGAAAAGAGGTGCCTAAAACTCAACAACTGAGGTGGCTGAAGGAAAAGTAGTGAAAAACACCAAGCCTACCCGCTCTGTTCAAGTCAATGAGCGTCTGAGACCGCGGGTGGTCATGGAGGCTCTTGCCGCTGTCTTGCTCCAGCTGGATCTGCTTGATCCTCACAGTCTTGGTGACCACCTGGCTCTGCTTATTCCCCACACGCATGCTGTATGCCAAGCTCCCATTCACAGCAATCGGGAGCCGCTGCTGGGTAATCTGGTAGCCGGCCTGCAGACAAGCAGAGATTATGCCGTCACTAGTCTAGTTTGTTCACCTCATATAAAGCTGGAGTCTAGTTTATTACTCTTCTTAATGTCCTCAAACTATAGCTTTACCCTAAAAGAAAAACCAAAACAAAAAACCACCAACCCCCCCCTAAAAACAATGGAAAATCACATACTGCAGCCTTCATTTAGTCTGGCCAGTGGCTTTTCCTGTGACCCTGTGTCCCTACTCCCCCTCCATCTTCGTTCGTCCACTCACCAAAAACTAATAATGAACAACAGGAGTCCCATTCTCAGGAATAACAACAGTCTCATTGTCAGGAGCCCCAAGAAAAGAGTGCCTTGTTTCCATTTAGCTCATTAGCCTAAACTCTGCATCTGATTACTGGCCCTGACAGACCCTCCTCATTAGGAAATGCTGGCGAAGCTTTCTGCCATCTCCTCTCCACACGGCACACAGCAGTTGTTGGTGCAGTGAAGCTGGTTTTGTTGCTGCCCGTTAAGATAAACCAGTCCTGCCAGCTGCCTCCCTGACCCAACTTCCCATGCTTCTCCAACCTTCTGCATGCATTCCAGTAAATGCAGTGACCCTCAAATTTAGCTCAGGGAAAGCACCTACTACCAAAATAGTGACAGATGTGGCAAGGATTCAGTAGAAAGGAAATACACAAATGCATCAACACATGCTAAAAAGACAAAAGGTCAATAAATAAAACTGAGGACGAACAGATACTAATAGCTAAGGTAGCCACAACACTTGTGATATCCCAGGTACCATCCTTAGTACTTGACACTCACATAGTTCTCATGATAACCCTATATGGTTGGTAGGAAACACAGAGACATTTGGGACCTTGCTCAAAATCAAAGAGTGAACAAATACTAATGTTGGGATTGGAGGGAAGATGATTTAGCTCTCACCACCAGGTCAATGGTTTGTAACCTGGCAGAACTGCCAAAGCAGAATGCTGGGCCCTACCCCAGTGATTTCAGATTCAGCAGGTCTGGGGTGGAGTCTGACAATTCCTATTTCCAACAAATTCCCAGGAGACGGATCCTGAAGTTAATGGACTGGGGAGTGACACTTTGAAAAACACTGCCCCAGGCTAGCTAATCTCTCTACTGAGAGAGACTGCCTTAATTTGTAAAATTAAATTCCAGATAGAGCTGCTGGACGAAATATAGAACACCCCGTAACACGGATCTATACACACACAGTACTTCTGTAGTAAAAGCCCATGTCATGTGATACTTGGCATCTCTAGCTGTGGATTAGCTAATTGAACTATCCAGAACAGGAAGTCACAGATAACCAAAGCACTGCATTTCAGCCACTTCGTGCTATGTCTCCCACCCTAACCGAACTGTTTACCACTCTTAAAAGAAAGGAAAATGCCATTTCATTCTCTATACCTTACCAAGCCATGGAATTTGTTAACAGGTTGGTAGATAGAAGTAGAAAGCGGCAGCAGTGTACGAATTCAAGTCTTAAGTTATATTTTATATACTTCTACTCCTTACTTTCCCCATTTAAAAAACCACCCAACCTTCAGTGTTAAGAAGAATTAAGCAAGCCAACACCATCACTACTCAAGTCCCAAAGATGAAGTGAGCCATACTTACTGTGAGAGGCTCAGAGCTAATGAAATAACGTTTTTAGGGAACCCATTCAACATGACCCCATTCAACATGTTTGTTTCCAGTTCAAGATCATGAAAAACTGACTCTTGGTCACATTGGCATCATTTAAAAGAAAAGAAAAAAGTTTTCAGGAAACTTAATTTTCAGGAAAAAGCAGACTAATACTAGGTTTATTGCTCAATTATTGCTGTTAGCTTCAGTTTCTGGTTCATGTCTTTGATTCCTATTGTCCACTTACTGGCTCCTTGTGAGATGACAGGAATGTCTCCCAAGGAGACAGTTCTATTATTGGGAACTTCAGCTCCAGGCTCTCTCTCCGTCTGCAGAGCTATAATACGCATTTACCCTTGCATCAACCACAGCGCTTGCTTTTGTCCTAACAGGCAATAAGCACCGAACACCACGGCTGGGCTGAGCCCCAGAACACTGGCTTCTTCTACTCCCCGTTCAATTATGAGGCAAACACCAGAAGCATGAGGCTAAGCAAGAAGTCAGCAATCAGAACAATTGCATCCAATCTAGTAAGCATCAGGGGGCACCTGCTTCATCAGGGCTAGGCAGAACTTCCTGCTGAGATGGACAGAGTGCTGGCGGACAGCATGAAGGCACAGCCCCCTCCCCCACCTCAGCCCCCCAGAGCAGGCCGGCCCAGTCAGAGAACTTTCAGGGCGAAGACCACACAACATACTTACAGGGAGGTCGGCATAGAAGTAGTGCTTCCTGTCAAACAAGGACTTCTTGTTTATGCGACAGTTCAGTGCCAGGCCTGTCATGACGGCTGCTTCTACACATCTCCTGTTGAGAACCTACAGAAACATGACACACAACTCTTCTCAGCTCCGAGGTCTGAACAAATGTTTCTCCCACACACTGACATCCTCAGTGAATATTCAATGTCGCCCTTCAACGGGCATTATCTCGAGTTCTCTGCGTGGGCCGCTCAAGCTCACAAGCCAACTCTGTTTGCCTGGGAAGCACAAAAACTTTATTTAAAAAAGAAAAGAAAATATGTGGCAGTGGTCCTGCTGGACGCTCAATGAGCTGCCACATCAGGTTATCCTCCCTCTGTGGCCAACACTGAAGTGAACAGAAAGAGTCCCAGAAAAACCTGGTGGCGTGGTTATGACATTGAATAAATTTATCTCACTCCCTCCTCAGACAGAATAAGAAGCCAGAGTATATGAAGAGGTGCTGGCTCCTGAGGACGGCGCTCACCAAATTTCAGGGAAAAACCACTGAAAGGCCTACATGGGACCCTAGAGCCCAATGGGGCGGCTTGACTTTAACTAAAAAAATAACACCAGGAGATTGGATGCCTGCTGCATTACCTTGAGGGTCAGGAGGTGGGCACAGCTGCCTCCTACCTCTCATCCAGGCCACCTGTGCTGCTTATGCCACTGGGGGCAGATGGAGCTTAGGAGTTTCTCCTGAATCCCACCCTAGTTTAAGGGACTTGTGACGGGGAAATGCCAGCAAATATCCCAGTCCCTAAGGAAGTGCAAGACTTTAACAACACTGGGGTTGATGAAATCAGTGACACAACTAGACATAAGATGAACATAAATCCTGAAGGCTGTTATGTCCAAATCTCATGTCTGCTCTAAACAGCTCTGTGACCAGGAGCCTTGGCTCTGAAACAGACTTTTCTAGCTAATTTGCACTGGTTGACTCAAGGATAGAACTTCTGCCTTTCATGTGGGAGACCCAGGTTTGATTCCCAGCCAATGCACCTTTTAGGCATCCAATATCTGTAAGGGGGAGCTTGTGTTCTGCTACAGTATTGACCAGGTTGCAGCACAGCATCCACACTAAATGAACTAGGAAGAAAGAGCTGGCTATCTACTTCCAAACTCGGCCATGGAAAACAGTATGGATCACAAAGTTTCAATCCACAATGAATCATGAGGATGATGCAGGCCAGACATCGTTTCACTCCTTTGTGGATGGGTCACCATTTGATGGCAGCTATCAACAACAATAGTTATCGAGGGTTTTCCAGTAAAGTATTTTCACATCCACTGTTTTATTTCGGCCTCACAGGAAGCCTAACGGAAATATTTTTATTATTCCAGTATTTTCAGATAAAAGAAAAAGCTAAAATCCAAACAAATGCACTTTCCCAAACTCAGAGTCAGCAGGTGTGGCCCTTCAGGCAGAAATGCCGAGCTCCCTGACACCGGCATAGCTTATTGATCACACAGGCTTTAAAAACAAATATGTACCATGAAAGTAGTTGTACTTATTGCTATATAACACTCCCCTCAAAACAAAACCAAAAACCCCCAACACCTCAAACAGCAAAAATCTCCCTTTTAGTGAAAACATCACCCCCCTTTTCTGGAACTCAGGTTACAAACTCCTCTCACCCCTTCTATTCTGACTTCTTCATCCTGGGCCTAATGCTGGCGATGGCTCAGCAGTAATAATGGTTTTCAAGAAGAGATGTGTTTGGGAGCCAGGATGCTCTGATTATCGATGTTTGCACTTGCTAATGTTTGGCATTTTCCTGAACGGATGTTGCCGCAATACAAATGGAGCTGTTGAAGCACCCTGCCAAATGCAGGCCTGATGACGGGTGTCCCAGTGCCCGAGCACGTGGTGCTGTCCCTTCCTCTCCCTCCCCCCATCGCCCCTCTCCCGGGCTGGGCTTCGGTGCGGGCTGCTTGTGAGCTGCCCGACTCTGTAGTAAGGGCCATTTTTTTCTTTTCTCTTCTCCTTATCACTCCCACTGTTCTTCTAGACACTGTTTCTCTCTCATCTCAATCCAAGCTGCCCTTTGGGGGCCCAGCATCCTTCCACCTTCTGGCATGAAGATTATTCTTTTGCTTGAGTATTTCGGAGCCTGCCTTGCTAAGGAACCCTCTGTGCCTGGCCCTGTGGCAGGGGACAGAGTTGTGATGGGTCACAGCCTTGCACTGTGCCTGCGTGCACATGTGTACACAGGCCTTTGATAAACCATCAATTTCCAAAGAATAAGAATGCAATAAAACACACAAATGCTAGAGCAGTACTGAATACACTTTAATCTTTTTTTGATGATTTAGAAGGCCTGAAGCACTTCAGGGTCAGAATTATAAGCATCAATCATCACTATACTACAATTGCATGGAGGGGCCAGTAAATAGAGAGTGCCAGTTAAAAGAATGCCAAGAAAAAAGAATTTATGATGATCTTAGTTAAGCTGCTGGTGACAGATGGAGGTCTGGGGCAGGGTGTTCTGAGGATAGGCTGCAGCAGTGGCAAAATGACTGGAAATTTTGGGGCTGTTGCATTCTAAAAATGTTCTTACATCTCTATCCTGCTCTTGAGTGTGTAGTGTGAGGACATGAACCTGCCGGCACCTCTCACGGCCCCCTCATGCCACAGGCTCTGTTTAGGGGGCTTCACAAAGTTAAAGGGCACAGAGCTTGCCCTCAAGGCATGCAATGTCTGAGCAAACCTACAGACAAGGACCTTATTAAGGGGAATAACATTCAGAACAGTACGTGCTTTAAGTTCTCTACAGCAGGGTGCGCCTGGAAACTGTCTTGAGTTGGTGCTCTGGAGTTACGGCTCGGTGATAGCCTTGACAGGTAAAGACAAGAGCCTTTCTCAGGTTTATCTTCCACACCTCTCACTCACTGCTATCAAGCTGGAACAGATTTCTAGCTGTCCCTCCAATGGGTTTTCAAGTACAGGGGAGGAGACTGCTCTTCTTAATCCTTTGGAGCAGCTGGTGGCTTTGAATTAACTGCCTTTGAGTTGGCAGCACAACTTCTTACCACAAGGCCACCAGAGCCCATATGTGGAATTCGGCTAAAATGCAAATCTTAGCATTCTCGTGTCTAATACCCCTCAAAGGTTTCCACTGTCTACACAGTAAAGGCTGAGCGGTCACGTGATCTACCTCCTGCCTAAAACTTCAACTCATCTCCTACCAGGTCTCATTCACACTATGAGGCCCAGTTTTCCTATACAAATCATGCTGGTTTTTCTGGCTTTCCTTATTCTCTTCAAAAAATCTTACAGAGGTGTCCTCACTTGTACAAACACTTCTTACACTCTTTCCTATGTATCTCTGCTGACCTGCACCCGTCCTTCGTGTCTGCATCACAGCAGACTGAATCTGGAGCATGTGTTTCCATTAGACTAAATTCCATGCAGGCAGGAACTGTCAGTTCGTTCTTCTGTCTCTAAATCCTACTATAGAATCTGAAGGGGGGAAAAATAGCTGTCCTCAATTAATGTGTGTTGAACTCCAATGTGGAGAGAGGTGATAGTATCAGGGGACGGTTTCAGAGTGATGATGCCTGAGGCTCCTCTAAGGTGACACCTGCCACCTGCTGGACTTCAAGCTTGTTTCTGAAAGTGCCCTGAAGTAACAACCGGTCATGGGTGATATGATCAAAGAGGGAACTTGAAACTGCCAGCAATTAATATAAGCAGAGGGGGAGCAAGGAACCTTGGTGTCTCAACTGGGTCTTTAAAAACATCATTGCAGCTTCAGTGATGATCAACAGTGAATATTTACTGCATTCACACTGTGCACCACCACCACCAATACTACCACTCACTGCCATCAAATTGGTTCTGACTCCTAACTGACCCCTCGCCTGGTTTCCAAGGCAATCACAAAAGGAGAATGCCTATCTTTCTGTCTCATAGTGCCTGGTGGATCTGAACTGCCAAGAAAGTGCAGCCTTCGGTAAACAGCACAACTGGAGATGAACTACCTGTGAGATAGATAGATAGACAGACAGACAGACACAAACACACAGATATATACATACACACATATACATACACATTACATCCATAAGTCACTCAATTCTCTCATCAGCCTTAGGGTAGACACTGTTATTACCCCATTTCATGAAGAGTCAGAGATTAAGGAATATGACCAAGGCCACACAGCTAAGTGGCAGAGCCAGGCAGCCGGAAATCAGACTCACAACAACTACAATGGAATAGGTCCAAATAATAGAATGTGCTCTTTTTTCCTCTTCTTAAGTTTAAGTTTTTGTTATTTTCATTCAATCTTTCATACAGACTGTGTTCTAGAACATTAACTGTGCAATGTCATTTATTATATCTCAGCAAATCCTCACTATGCCGTGCCCTTCCCTTCACCCCACTCATCCATCCACAAATCTCTGCTTCCCTCTCCATATTCTTTTCGGCTTTTAAGGCTAACATGGGCCTTAACCCCAGAACACCACCTCAAGGCATTTGCAATAATGCCTTTACACTAATAAAGAGAATTTTAAAAGTAGATATTATTCCTTATGTTGTCTTCTCAACAGTTTCTCTCTCTACAGGTCTGGCTTTACATACTGAGTTTTCAGGAGGCAAGCACTGTGCCCTTTTAATTTTGTGAAACACTCCATACAGAGCCTCTAGCAAGAGGAGGGTATGGTAATGAGAGAGCCTATACGTTTCTCCAAGCAGCACAGATAGATACGTCATTAATGGATTTCTGAAAGTTGTAGATGCAAGTACCCATAAAACAATTTCTCAAATACATGAAGGGGCTAATTCTGATGTGTAATCAGAAGAAGATTTTAATAAATAAGGTAGGAGATGAAGTAACTACATGGAGGAGGGCCAATGCTCTTCATGACCAGCAAGGAGAGACTGAGAATCTCATGCTTAGGAATAGGATACAGGGGTGAGGGTAAAGGAGTGTACAATTTTGAAGAAGTGTTCAAATGGCTTATTTTGAAAACATAAGTAGCACTGCAATCGTAACTGGCTCAGAACCTAAAAGACATCCAGAGAGAGTACACAGTTGTTAGCTGCTATCGCATCAGTTCACCATCATGGTGGT